GAGAGGACAGTCTTCAGAGACAGCGGTAAGCCAATGGAAACATATCTGACAAAAAGAAAAAAACTCAATATGAGAAAGAGAGAAAACTGAGGATAATCCCAGCTTTTCACTCAAGTCCATTCATCATTTTAGAAGTGATGAAATACCAACTTTAAGATTATTTTCCCTTTTCTTCAATGCAGAGGGAGAAAACTTTTCCCATATATCACAGAAAGGATGTTTCCTCTAGCCTCTGAAATACCCATGCGTTTATTTACTCGTTAAAGGGACATTTCGCCTAAAAAAGAAACGGTCATTATTTACTCACCCTCAAGTTTTTTGTGTGAAAATTGTGTGAGAAATTCTTTTTTCAAGAATATTGGTAATCAAAGAGCTGTTGGTCCCCAATGATTTCCATACTATAGATCATTAAATACTATGGAAGTAAATGTGGACCAGCAACTCTTTGCTTACCCACATTTTTCAAAATATTTTCTTTTGGTTTCAGCAGAAGAAAGTCAGTCACACAGGTTTGGAGCATCTTGAGGTTGAGTTAATGATTACAGGGTTTTCAGTTTTGGGTGAACTATGCTTTTAAGTAACCATGTAATAAGCGTTATGTACAGTGAGATGTACAGTCAGCATGGTCACACATTTATGGTGTTAAAGTAAGGCAATGCTTGTGCGGTCACCTTGCAGTCCATGCGGCAAAGTTTACCCTCCTGCACAATAAGGTCACCGGGGGCCTGCAGAAAATGAGGGCGGAAGTGACGTTCCTGAATATTCTCATTCTCATCACCGCTGTCTCTGGACCTTGAGCGTGGTCTGGGGGGAAAAAAAAAAAAAGCCAATTCTGTTCATGTTTTCGTTGTGAATAATCAAATGTAAAATGTCAGATTTGGTAACGGTTGGCATATTAATGTTTTTGGCAAATAAAGGATTTTGCTTCAATAAATTTAATACCAATTTAATACCAAAAATAATGATTTTATTTTAAAATTTTAAAATAGTCAGTAACGAAAGGATAGGATAAAATTCACCATTTCAAGGTAAAAGGTATAACAGTACAGTAGGTGACATTTTAAAAAACATAGAAAAGAATTGTGCCTGTAATGTATTAAAAGAAAGAAAGAGAACAAGAAAAGTAATGAGACAGCAAAGAGCACCACATTTGTGGAGAAAAAAAGGTTTTATTGTATTTTCTTAATTAAATAATTTAATGAAGAGCTTACTTTGTGTAGGAAATCATATCTAGGTTTTACGACTAATGATAGGTTGGCACACAGCTTTGACTTCAGAGACTATTAACACTGTCAATGAAAAATATAAAAACCTCAAAAGACCTGAATGGCCAGATATATTATATCTAATCCAGAGGAAACCCCACCCATTCAAAAAGATTCACATATTCTATTCTGCACAAAAGACATCTTAACATGGTCCTTGCATCATTGTCCAAAATATACAGGTGTTCTTTACATGGGACACACCCTCTATTAGTGCTAGTCCCACAGAGCAAACCTGATCCTGGACCTACTGTTTAGAAACAGTGCTTATATACCTGCGGATGTGTCCAGGTGTGGAGCGCTGACTTCTCCCCCTTTGGTTCACAGCCTGGACCATCATCCTTCCAGTACAGCTCACTCTCCCCTAAGACAGAAGAGAGAGAAACATTTGAGATAAGAAACTGACAGTATACGCTTTTCTTAGCGATAATAAGATGAAAGAAAAGTGACATGCATGACACATAACCAAATATACAGTTGTCAGGGTTGGATTGTGGTCAATTTAAGCTGGAATGTGTCTGAATGTGTAGGAACTTCTGTTCTGACTCTTCCAAAGGCTGTAGATTTTTTCTTGCTTCTGGTCAGTCACTTCCCCCTGACTACCAATGTTTATCTGTCTCCACCAAAACACTGGTCATGCTGACTAGCCACTTGAGAAACTGTGTATATGTACGTGAATGTGAGAAGAAAAAAACAAATCAAATGAGATCAAACGCCGATAAAAGGTATTATATATTTTTCGTAGCTAACATGTTAACACAAAATAACTATTGCGAAATTATCGCCTTCTGCAATTTGGATGTATGACACGTCTCCAATTTTTTGAGACATGCATGTTCTACTAGGGAATTTTGTGTTGCATGTGTAAAAACAAAATAGAGAATTGATCAGTTTGAATCCATTGTTACCATCTGTAATAAAACTATATAATAAAATAAATAAAAAAAAATGTAAAAAAAAAAAAACACAAAAAAAAATAATCTCACCGCTGGGTTGCCTGCCATAATGGTGTAGTTCCCATCATCATCTAGCGAGGCAGCCGCTGTGTGCAGGAAACATGTGCCGTCTGGATCACGACTGATACGATAGTGTTCACTGCGCTTTGAGATCTGCTTTCCGTCCTTAAACCAGTACACCTTCAACCACACACAGATATACACATGGTTATGCAACACTCCAAAGCTTGTACTGTTGTTTCTTTTTTTCTCTCTTCTTCATCACTTCTGTTATTAAGTCTGCCGTCATCACACAGTCATTACTGTGGTCTCATGGTAGTCAGAGAGAGAGACAATGAAAGCGAGACAGCCATATATGGCTGGAATTTTAGAAGTGAAGCAGAGCAGAGCTTCTGATGAAACCAGCCTAGTCACAGATGATAAACCACCAATCCCATCATTCCAGTCACCTCTCTAACAATCCCTTAAAACAAAATAACCTCCATGCCGTGAACCACTACTGTATCTCCAGAACAACATGCAGTATAAAACTATAGACTGTAATAAAAATTATATATATATATATATTTAAAAAACCTAACTGGTGTTTAACATCATCACAATAATTCACAAGTGATACACACATTATGTCCATCAATTAATGTCTTGTGAAGTGAAAAGCTGTGTGTTTGTAAGAAAAATCTATCGAGGCGTTTTAACTTCAAACCATCACTTCTGGCAAAAATACCAATCCATAATCCATAATAACACTTCCTCCAGTGAATAAGCTCATCCCCTGTTGCCCTCTCACATCCAGATCTATCAACATTCTTATGTAGAACCATTTTGGACTGTTTTCACTTATAAATGGTGCATGATCCGTGCATATTTCTCTCCTGGTTCAGAAAAGACAACTTTTTCATTGGAGAAAGCAATATTATAGATAGAGGACTTGGGTTTTAGCAGGATGCAATGGTTTACACTTAAAAAAAATAATAATTCTTTATGAATTTATTACAAACACGCAGCTTTTGGCTTCACGAGATGTTAATTGATTGCTTAGAGTTGTGTGGATTACTGTGATGTTTTTATCAGCTGTTTGGACTCTCATTCTGACGGCACCCATTCACAGCAGAGGATTTATTGGTGACCAAGTAATCTAAATGTAAATTTCTCCAAATCTGTTCTAATGAAGAAACAAACACATCAAAATCTTGGATAACCGAGGGAAACTAGATTTTCATTTCTGGGTAAACTTTTGTTTTACTAATTAACTACCTGCTGAGATTACAGTCATAAACACAAAATTTGCATTTTCATGGAAGTCATTGACAAGGATCTGATTACAAGCAACAAGAAATTATACATGCTAAAAGAGCTAACTGCATGGGTGATGACCTCTCACCTTTGGCTTTGGGTCGCCGATGACCTTGCAGCTGAAGGTCACAGGCATTCCTTCGAAGACCTTGTAATGCTTGAGCTTCTGATCGAAGAACGGTGCGACCTCTCCGGGAGTGTCTTCATTATGTTGAACGTCATCGTCAGATTCCTCCACAGGCGAGCGCTCCAGACGGAACTCGATCTCGCTGATCAACCGCTGCTCGAAGCTGGACACTTTATACTCCTGTCACACAAACAAATACAAACACTTTACCTTATGACCTTCTCCTCAACTTACTAACTCATTCAATCACTCATTTTATTCATTCAAGCACAGATCCTCTCATCACTGTGTCCTATAATCTATTCAGTCCTGTATCCAACTCTTATTGCCCTTTCATCTGGTCCGTTTCTTTTTATTTCACTCTGCAGGCAGAAGGAACATCTGGAGAAAAGTGTGTGCTGATGACACATCACAACAATAATTGCAGGTTTAAGACACAGCTGCAGCAAGAAAAACACACACACACACCATCATAACTACATATGTAGACAACGAACGCACCCTCTCCATCTTGTTCTCTTGCACGTCCAGCCACATCCTCCCAAAAACACACACACATGCACATTTCATATGCAAACACACAGATAACCGCTATTTGCCCAAGGATGTGTGTGGAGCACTAAGCACACTTTAAATTTATGGCACAACCTTAACAGCATATCCACTTCCCACAGTTCAGAGGAAGAGAAGCATGTGCATTTTAGTGTCTCCACTCGAGGGCAGGAAATGTGTGAAGCAGACGCATGCGGTCTCTGATCAGTTAGCAATAACAAGACACATGATGTTAGGCACCCAGCACAGTTTTTTTTTCACATTTTTAATGTTCATATGATGTTGTTTGGCCATTACAGTGGCCAAATGTTTTTGTATAATGATTGCAAAAACGGCGTTATTGACTGCTGTCCAAGGGAAATTACTGTATTTTTTTTTTATAAAAGGCAGAAATTGTTTTTTTTCTTCTTCTTACATAAAATAAATTCAACTCGCATTCTATTTCATGTCTATTTAACTTTTTGGGAAGTATCTGTGTGATAAGTGGGGAAATGTGCAGTCAGTCATTATCACAAAATAAACCCCTTCATCGTCATCAGCAATTTGTTACAACAGCTAAAATACAATGAAGGATGACGTGAATAACATTTCATTACATAACAAATAGCTGAGATCATATATCTAACATATGTTACAAGTCAGTAAGATTTTCTTTTTTTCTTCTTTAAAAAAACAAAACTGTTTTTGCAGTTATTTTTACCTGTATTCACAGGCTGGATTTATTTGATCGAAAATACACTAAAACAGCAATATTGTGAAATATTATTAGAATTTAAAATAAAAATATTCTATTTGAATATATTTTAAAATGTAATTTATTCCTGTGATGGCAAAGCTGACGTTTCAGCAGCCATTACTCCAGTATTCAGTGTCACATGATCCTTCAGAACTTGGTGCTAAAGAAACATTTAACATGATTGTTAATATTGAAAATGGTTTAACATTGCTTAATATTTTTGTGGAAGCCGATACATTTTTTTAAAGATTCTTTGATGAACTGAAAGTTCAAAAGAACAGCATTTATCTTTTATATCAGTGTAAAAGTCTGTACCGTCACTTATTTAATGTGTTCAGCCTAAATTAAAGTATTTCTTTCTTTCAAAAAAAGAAAATCTTACTGAGCCCAAACTTAAGCAGTACAGTACTTTCCTCCAAATATTGGACCCCCCATGAGTTTTGGTTCAATACAAACACTGAACACACTGCTTATTTGATCAGTAAGATTGCAGTGTAAATCTCTGTACTTGATGATTTACCCAGAGAGTACAATAGTAATCACTGTCATATTGCGGTCAAGGACTTAATCAAAACGCAAATATTTCAATAAACAGAGACACAGAATAAAACACAGTGGATAGAGTAAACACACAATCACATACAGTATTGACTGGCCATAACATGAGGGTGACCACACACAGAGGGGGTGAGAAATTAAACAACTGGGGGTGGTCTCAAGAGGTTAAGAAAAGGGAAACA